AAAAGGATTTAAAAAATTGAAGAAACCCTAAGAATTATGTGGGACTCTATCAAGTGGACTATATGAAGAAGAATGAGGCATCAGGATTGGAGGAGACTCATTAACAACCTGCATTATGCAGATGACACAACCTTGCTTGCTGAAAGTCAAGAGGACTTGAAGCACTTACTGATGAAGATCGAAGACCACAGTCTTCAGCATGGTTTGCACCTCAACATAAAGAAAACAAAAATCCTTATAACTGGACCAATAAGCAGCATCATGATAACTGGAGAAAATATTAAAGTTGTCAAGGATTTCGGTTTACTTGGAACTACAATCAATGCCCATGGAAGCAGCAGTCAAGAAATCAAACTACTTATTGCATTGGCAAAACTGCTGCAAAAAAAAACCTCTTTAAAGTGCTGAAAAGCAAAGATGTCATTTTGAGGACTAAGGTGCACCTGATCCAAGCCACGATATTTTCAATCGCCTCAAATGCATGTGAAAACTGGACAATGAATAAGGGAGACTGAAGAAGAATTTACACCTTTGAATTATGATGTTGGAGAAGAATATTGACTATATCATGGACTGCCAGAAGAATGAACAAATCTGTCTTGGAAGAAGTACAACCAGAATGTTCCTTAGAAGCAAGGATGGTGAGATTTTGTCTCACGTAACTTGAACATGTTATCAGGAGGGATCAGTCATTGAAGAAGGACATCATGCTTGGTAAAGTAGGTCAGCAAAAAAGAGGAAGTCTCTCAACGAGACGGACTGAGACAGTGGCTGCAAAAATGGGATCAAGCATAACAACAATTGTGAGGATGGCGTGGAAGCAGGCAGTGTTTCGTTCTGTTGTACGCTGGGTCGCTATGGGTTGGAACCAACTTCACAGCACCTAACAACAACAACAACAACAATGTATCTTAAGACATGGTGGTTGACACCAGACTTGAGGAGGGTTGAGAGAACCAAGCCTCCTGTATCCCAGACCAGACTGGCTCCTTCATATACCTTCGGTATATGCCAGAGAAATAGCTTAGACCCCAATGAAGATGTGTGAGAGCCAAGGAGAAATGTTTATAGCAGCAGCCCCATTGAGGTCTGCAATGGTGACAGTTGGGAGGCAAGGGCCTAGGGTGAAGGTTAAAGTTTTGCTACTAGTTTGAACATTGCACAGGAATTCCTCAATTTAACATTGAATAGCTCCTTCAACCTAGCTCCACCCTCTTTGTTTCATTTTGGGTCCTGCTATTCTTCTATTAAACCTCCCTCCACTCCAATCCATTTCCCAGAGGGAATGTCACTGCCTTCCCACCCCCCTTATCTCAAGCATATACTTAGCTGACTACTTTGGAAGGACAAATCTGAGCAAATTTCTTCCTAAAATTTCATAATAGATATCTTTTTTTTGGGGGGGGGAACTTGCTAACTTGCATCTTTCTGTCCAATCAAATTTGCTTATTTTATTTTAATATATATTTTCTAGTTGGATTTTTCCTCAGTATCCATTTAGTCTTAATGTTATTCTTTTCCTTCAGGGTATTTTCAAATTAAATGATTTTATTCTCAGGGTCATTAGCAATTTTTTGGTCCAGCGTAGGATCTGTGGAAAGAACATGGACTTTGGAGACAAACCTGCAGTCGAATCCCTCCCTGATCCTTTCTTTTCTGTTGAGTTGTGACCTTGGATATATTACTTAATTTCATTGAATCTTGACTTCTTCACTTGCAAAATAGGGATAATATCTACTGTATAGTGTTGAGGATCAAAGATAATATCTGTAGCACTTGACACATAGTAAAAAATCAAAACCAGTCTGACTCATGGCAACCCCATGTGTGTCAGACTAGAACCATGCTTCGTAGGGTTTTCAATGGCTGATTTTTGGGGAAGTAGATCACCAGGCCTTTCTTCTGAGGTGGCTCTGGGTGGACTTGTACCGCCAACCTTTTAGTTAGCAGCCAAGAGCTTAACCATTTGCACCACCTGTGGGACTCCTGACACATACTAGGCATTCAATTTAAAAATAGCTATTTATTACATACTCATTTATTCTTAAGCATGGGTAATGGTTTTCAAGTGTGTTTCAGGGAGCCTTGCAGGCCTCCTTAAAGGGAAGGGGTGTAGGAGAGGTTGAAACAGTCCTGTTCAGTCCCTTGTTACTGCTTTGGCCAGAACAGCCTCCCAGTTCAAGGATGTCCTGGATTCTAGGAGCGAAGTCAATGTCTGAGGGGCACCTCAGGTAACTCAAATTTCCAATGCTAATATCCTGTCTTGGAGAGGGGGATAGTTAGGAGAAGTTAGGGCTCACCTTAGGAAACAATGACCTAGCAGGGCTGAATAACTCTCCTCCCTTCTGTGCCATTTCAGCTCATAGAACAAAATCCATTCTCTAACTAGAATATTAATAGCTGACAATTACAGGACACGCACAATGTGCTAGGTCTTTTGTGCCAAGCATTTTATATATATTATCTCACTTAATCCACACAAAAATCAATGGGGTAGAGACTCTTATTACTGCCATTGTGTAGATGTGGAAATGGTGGCTTTGAGAGCCAATTCACCAAAGGTCATATAGTTTGTGAGTGATGGAGAACCTAAATTATTTACAACCTCTTAGCTACCCCGATTTTAGAAGGTAGAGAGTTCTTGAAATCTTTCTGTTTAAATCTCTGCTTTTAGATCTTGGCTACTTATGATGTGATACTCACCTTCCACACAGTTGGTGGAGAAGAAGCAGATGTTCCGGGTCTCCAAAGGGTTCTCATGGGTGAACTCGGGGGAGCGGCTTTGGGGCTCTGACTCTCCGGTCAAGGATGAGTTGTCCACCTGAGATAAGAGGGAAGATCGGTTATAAGGTGAGCATGGGGGAAAAAAGGCAGATTCGTGTATAAAGACGACACATCTTTGTCTGCCACCACCAATGTTATTGATATACAGAGAAAAACTGAAGTTTACCTACCAGCACCTTATTGTCTCTAACATCAACTTTGCATTTGTACCTCCTCAAGACTCTGAAGGATCAAATCATGCTTTCTTTTACTGAGCCCAGGTCCCTATAGTGCCCTAAGACCATCTTTGGCCCCCTCATACGCTAACCACATGCCCTCACCTTACATCCTTGTGAAGAGATAAGTCGAATGTCAGCCGGGATTCGGTCTCCACCCTTCACTTCTACCAGGTCTCCCAACACCACGTCTTGTACATCAATCTGCATCTTCTCTCCTCCTCGAATCACCAGGGCTTGCTATGGGAAGATAGTGCAGGGCCATTTCCAAACGACCGTTTCTGCTTCTCCCATCCTTTCTAGCCTACAACCTCCTGTTCTTGGTCTCCTTCCTTCTGATTCCCCTTTCTGACTGTCATCCATCACATCATCCTTGAGGGTAGCTTTGGTAGATTGCAAATTCCTCCCATCACACTTTGCAGGGCCTTTTCCATGTGTCTTTGATGTTCCTCCCATTAAGAGGTAGAGTCTATCCACCCCTTGAATCTTGGCTTGGCCATATGATTTGCTTTAGCCCATGGGATATTAATAAATGTGATGCAAGCAGAACATCGGGGCTTGCCCTTTTGTTGCTGGGAAAACTTCTGCTACCCTCTTGTTGCTGAGAAACCATGAGGAAAGGCCCCAGCTATCTTAGTCACCCCAGCTGAGGCCTTAATCATGAGTGTGAGGTAGTCTTATACCATCCAGCCCTCGGTGACACCAGCCCAGACCAAAAGAACAGCCCAGCCAATCTATGGAATTGTGAGAAATAATATGTTTGTTATTTTAAGCCACTAAGTTTCAGGATGGTTTGTTAGGCAGCAAAAGCTAACTGATACAGTGTCCAAGCTGTTAGTCCATTCTACCAAAACACTTTGCCTTGAACTATTACCCATGGAAAAAATTAGGTTATGTCAACACTAAAACCGATTCCAACTCATAGCAACCCTATAGGACAGACCTGAACTACCCCATAGGGTTTCCAAGGAGTGGCTGGTGGATTCAAACTGCCAACCTTCTGGTTAACTGCCATAGATTTTAACCACTGTGCCACCAAGGCTCACTCCTCATGTCAACACTAAAGGCAAAAGAAAATCCTGGAATATAATGCTAGAATCTGATCGTGTTGTTGAGAAATTATGGAGCTTGTTCCTTTTCAACTTTTCAGCCCAGTGCCTAGGAATCCCTGTCTACTGTCACATTATTTCCACATACTTAAAAAAAGTCATTGGAAAATAATTTTAAATGTTCATAGAAGTTTCAAGAACAAAAATAGTACCAAGAACACTTGTACGACCTTTACCTAGATTCGCCTACTAATATTTTATCCCATTTACTTTATCATTTGAGCTCTCTCTCTCCCTGTCTCTCTCTCACACACACACATACACACACATGTATGCTTTCTTATTCTCTGAGCCATTTGAAGGTAAGTTACATACATGATGGCCTTTTACCCTAAATACTTCAGTGTGCATTTCTCAAGAATTAGGATGTTCTCTTACATAACCACAGTACAGTTATCCACTTGGGTAAATTTCACATTGATACAATACTTTTATCTAATCTACTGTCTGTATTCTAGTTTTCTCAGTTGACCCAATAATACCCTTGACAGAATTTTTGTCTCCTCTAGCACAGGATCCCATCTAAAGCTGGGTATTGCATTTAGTTGTTATGTCTCTTTAGCCTCCTTTAATCTGAAACGTTTACACAGCTGTTGCCTTTTATGTCATTGACATTTTGAACAATCCAGCCCCTCGGGAACCACCCCCCCCCCACCTTTTTTTTTTTTTTTAATAGATTGTTCTCATTTGGGGTTTGTATGATATTTCCGTATGATTAGATTCAGGTTATGTTTTCTAGGCCAGACTACTTCATAAGTGGTGCTGTGTCCTGCTCAGGATCACAGCCTTTTCCCCAGGTACTTCTGAGGCCACTGACAGAGAAACCTAAGTGAACCTCACCCTCATCACCAGCCTCATTCAGCTCACTCATCGTAGGATATAATTCTCCAGGGGACTTAACAATTGTGTATTTCACCACATTCTACACCTCCTTTCACTAGATCCTCCCATGCCAGTCCTACCTGTGGCACCATGTTCTTAAAAGACTCCATGATCTTGGAGCTCTTGGCCTCCTGCTGGTAGGAGAAGCAGCCAGTGATGATGACCACGATGCCTAGTACTATGCCCAGGTAGAGCTGGGGGGTGGAGAAAGAAAGGATTTATCAGTAGGTCCTTTTCTTCCTCTCCATCCTCAGAAAATCAGCTTGCAAGGGTAATAGCCATTTATCCAAGGAGAAGAAGCCATAGGACTCAGTTAGAGAAGAGCCTGAGGTGGGGATGACGTATTCAGCTTCCTGGTAAAGGAACCCTGAGCTATGGTGAGGGGTCAGCAAAATCCCAGATCAGAGAATGCCTATATCTTCCTCTCCAGGATGGCTATTCATGGCAGGGAAGGGGGGCATGGTGAGGGAAGTGGGAGGGAGGAGATGAAGAGGTTAATTTCTAGGGAAGCGAGAAAGGGACACAAAGTGCTTTGCTGATCAATTGGGAAGATAATCAAAGGGGAGCAAGTTTCTAGGGGAAACCATGCATACTGTGGTGCTGAACCAGTAATTTTCTAGATAAAGGCTGGGGAACACAAGATGGACAAGGGGCTCCCATAGAAAATCCTGGGAGTATTAGGGATTTGGGCCAGAGGACTATGGGAGTGCTAAGGGTGCTGAACAGAAGAGTATCTGAGGCTGAGGAGGGACTGGGCTGGGCAGGGCAGTAGTAGTTGAACAGACTCACATTATCATTGGTAGACTCATCACTGAAATAGAGCTGGATGCCATAGGCCACAAAGCAGAGAAAGGAACCAATCCACAGTAGGATGGAGAAGCCACCGAACAGTTGCTTACAGAATTTGATCCATTCCGGAGTGGTGGGGGGTGGAGTAAGTGTATTAGGTCCCTCTCGTTCTAGGATTTCCCGTGCCTGTTCAGGGGTAAGGCCCTATGTGGAAGAGAAATAGAGATGGATAGAGAGTCGTGAGAAGGGAAGCCGTTACAGTGCAAGGAATCTAGCTTCAGATCCCAGGTCTGCTATAGATCAAAGAAGCTCTCTGAAGGTATGGGAGTCCTTCCTAGATAGGGTGGGATTTTAAAATTTATAAAAGGGATATCACTTAGAGTGCCCACATAAGAAGGGTCTTTCATTTATGGATTAATTCATAAATGTTTTGGAACACCTATCTTGAGCCTTGTAGGTGCTAAGGATCCCAAAATGAATAACACTGATCTCTATACTTTGTTGTTGTTAGTTGCTGTTGAGTCAATTCCAACTCATGGTGGCCCCATGTATGCAGAGTAGAACGGCTTTCATAGGTTTTTCTTGGCTGTAATCTTAACAGAAGCAGATCAACAGGTCTTTTCTTCTGCGGTACTGCTGGGTGGGTTCCAGCCACCAGCCTTTATGATTTGCACTCAACTACTAACCTAATGTTTGGTGGTTCAAACCCATCCAGTGGTACTGTAGAAGAAAGCTCTGGCAATCTGTTTCCATTAAGATTACAGCCATGGAAACCCTATGAAGCAGAGTTCTACTCTGTAACTCATGGGGTTACCATGAGCTGGAACTGACTCGAAGGCAACAGGCCTCCACACTTAAGGAGCT